GGAGAGGATACAAACTCCCTCTTCTATGTGTCTCCCTCAGGTCAGCTCCCCAGCTCTGGGCTCCTTCTGAAATGATATACCTGCCTTCCTGGGATCCCTGTCAAGACTAAATTAGATAATATATATGAGAAAATTTTGTAACATGGAAAATACTGTATAATGTCAATTATTTTTTTTTTAAAGAGAGAGAGAGAGAGAGAGAATTTTTTAATGTTTATTTTTTTAGTTTTCGGTGGACACAACGTCTTTATTTTATTTTTATGTGGTGCTGAGGATCGAACCCAGCGCCCCATGCATGCCAGGCGAGTGCGCTACCGCTTGAGCCACATCCCCAGCCCCAATGTCAATTATTATTGCCAGCCTTTCAGAAAGTATGTGATCAAATCCAATTCATTTTAATTTTCTGGAACATAAGAAAAATATATTACATAGAGAGTCTCATTGATTCAGTGGTTTTAAAAAAAGGCAAAGTCTTTGATTTACTTTCATATAAAACATCATAAAGATAGTGCTTTCTGATCAAGAAATACAAAATTGTTAGCAAGGCAAACAGATATTGATTTGCCACTTCATATGCTGGTAGTTAGTGCTTTTCAAAATAACTTTTATCTGATTATAAAAAAAAACATTTGTCCATTGTAAAAGTTTTTGAAAAATACAGAAATAAAATAGGAACATAACGTCACTACCCCAGAGATCACCATTTGTAACAGCTTGGCATATTCCAGTTCTTTTTATTTTTTCAGGTTATACTGTATATAGGGGCTTATATTCTGATGTTTTACTTATAATATAAACATTTTTCCTATGTTATAAAGAAAACCTTTTGTTGAACATCCTTTTTAATGGCTACATATTATTCTATGTTGTGATTGTATACAAAGATTTAATATTATTGATTATTTACTTAGAATCGATTTCTAAAAAATGTTTTTACTAAGTAAACCACTGTTAGCTTTTTCATATATCTTGATTAGAGGAATTGCAAGCAAGCCAGAACTGTTAGGGGATAAATCTCATATAAAACTGCTCAAAGCACACATGCAGACAAATTGATTCTTCCTACATCCATCATTATGTATTTTTATTTTCAAATCCTCTTTCTAATACTTTGGGAAAGATCTAAGACAATTCTTAGCAGCACAGCAATTGTTTACAGGCATTTAGTTGGGATCACTATTAAATGCCTTGTGCAGAATAAACCAAAGAAATACTTTTTTGCAGGTGATAATTATGTCAGTCAATATCATTTCTTACTCTGGGGTATGATGTCAGGTATCAAATTTCTCCATTATGAATGTTCATGTGTCGATGGGGGTGTATCCCCTTGGAAGGAGATTAAAAAGACAGCATCACCTAAAAACCCCCTTCCTAATAATTTGAGAATGTCCAGAAGCCTTGGAGGGGCTTGGTACGGTAGCTCAATGTCTCAGACAACACCCTGTAGAGGATTAGCTTTCTTAACATTTCATCCTCTCCACCAAGAGAGTCAGGGGTCATTCGTACTCACAAGAGAAACCTAACTTAAGTAAAGTATGCTATTCATCTATTCAGCACCACATACCTATAAAGTGTCCAAAATGGCTCTTTAGTGACTAAATACATTTCCATTTTCCCATCACTTTTTCCCCCTACTTGGCCATTTTCCTAAAACCATAACTCAAACTTTCCAAAAGGAAAAAAAAATAATCATCTCTGGGTAATCCTTTCAAGAATTCTTAGAAGAAAACTTTTATTCTTTGATGACTCTTATGGGAATCCTAACTTGTGATTATTATTAGGATTTAAAATGTTTCAGCACCAACATCCACCTAGGTACGGTGGGGGCGGAGAAGCAATGTGAGCAAAAGACCACCTGTTTTGCCATCCCTGCTGCACAATGAAAAAACTTGAACGCAGAAGACTTAAGAAATGGGAGGATGTCTAAGGGAGGAGGGTTGGTTACCTCCCGAATATTTTAACTACCCACATTCTATTTACTTCCCAGGATAAGTGGGGAGCATCTTTCCATCTGTACTACGAGTAGGGACAGGAAGAGGCCCAGCTTCTAGGCCCCTGCCTAGAAGGGTGACGATGCTCTTTGGACCCAGGCAGGCACCTTTGTCACCCAGAGCATTCTTTTTCCAGAGCAGGATCCAAAATGGAAGGAGAACTCCTCAATTTTATAAGCCCTCCTACTGTATCTCTTATGAATTAGATTCCTTGAATGCAGTTCCTGAGTCTCCTCTAGCAACTGGAGCAGGACTGTTTCCAGTGAGTCAGACAGGTGCCTTCACTTTCACCTTTGCAGGCCTCTGTTGTCGCCTCTGGGGATCTTCACATTGCAAGCAAGGCGGTGTTTGCCACACTGGCAGCAGCAACAGAGCAATGTGCAGCAGGCTGGGGGATCGAAATTTGCAAACTCAGTATCCTGGGCCTCAGGCCAATGCAGGCTGGGTGCGTTGCTGTGGTGACACGTTTAGTCTCTGGGGAGGGATGCTGGCACACCAGCTGCATTCTTGGCACTGTGTTTGCCAGTGAGAAACTTGTGGAGTGGAACTGGTATCAACTCCAGAGGGAGATGCAAGCTGCTTCCTTAACTTCTTTGGCAATACTATCCTTTGCAACTTGTGCGTAGTACACCCTCCTGAATATTTACAAGAACTACTATTCGTGATACTCTTTGGGGTCTGGTTGGATGATACTTTGAAGGCAAGTGCTAAAATGATAGCAGACTTCCAGTTTACAAATGTAACTATAGCATCCCTGAATAATTCAATTTCCTAAAATTGGCACCCAACTATGCAATGAATTATCTTTTGCTGGGAAGGGATTCTAATCCCCCTCTCACTTTTTAAAAATAGCTTTTTACTGTTGCCAAGAGGAGAGCCTAGTATTTACTATCAGAGGAGGATATGTGAATTAAAATACTCGCTTTTTTTTCCCTCTTACATTTCATTGGCATTACATTCGCCGAGCTTGCTAATACCTGAGAGAAAGAAATGCCCTTAGTTCTTCAGAATGCCTGACCCACCTCTCTTATTTGTGCCTGCAAGGGAACATGCACTAAGATTTGGCCACTTAGTATTCAGACCATGTCAAGATTCAAGTAAAAAGCCTATATTGCAAAGCTGGATGCACAGTTGCCAGACCAAACACAGTCAACAGTTCAAATCACAGTTAGATTATAAGAAAGCGTGGGGCAAGGCATGCAGACCTGTCTTGTCAATGAAGCAGTAGAGATAAAAGGAATTACTCTATAAATGCCAACTTGGGAGGCTTTAATGAATACAGAGATGGTGTTCTTTCCAGCTGCCCCCAGTTGACTGTAAAAGCTGGTTAAGATTTTGACCATAAAGCTTTCTTCTTCTTCTTCTCCTCCTCCTCTTCCTCCCTCTCTTTCTTTGTCTTCTTTTAAATGCAAAACATCTAAGTATTGAGAAAGGAACAATTCCTCTGTGTATTCCCATAGTTTTGCAAATGGACAGCCATGTTAGCAGGCCAAGTGATTACTACTGGAAATATCAGATGTAATAGAGGAAATGCAGTTTAGACAATAATTCACATATGTTAATGCTTAGTTCCATCAATGTCAGCTCTATTTTCTTCTTGATATACACAAAGCTGGCACACAATTTTAACTGATGAGGTAATGTCATTTTTAATTTAGAAAGCCTTAAGCTGTCCACTCAAACCAGTGATATCATCTTTGCAGTTGTCTCCTGAGACTTTATGTAAATGTAAGTAATGTGTCCTGGGCAGTTTGAAAGAGATTGTTAAGGATGACATCGGTCATCATAAAGATTTCTCCCCACTTTGATTTCTTTTAAATTGCTAGATAAAGTTGATATGACTGCCATATTTTAGCCATATCTGAAATTAATATATACCAGGATTTTTGAACCAAGGGAAACATAGAAATAAAATAAAGGTTTGAAGTGAATGGATTGTAATGTGTTCATGTTAGTTCTAGGGGAAAAAAATGGAAACAAATCAGATCCTCTAGCTCCTATGTGACTTGGCAAATAAAAAGAAAGAAAACAGCAAGATACTAAGAAACAAATAACACCAAATAAACAAAAATCTCTTTATTTCCCTCAAGAACACTAGTGATGGTTTCTACCTTTTAAAGATAAATAAGTTGCAAGCATATCAGTTATCTCAGTGTAATCTTTAGAATAATATTTTATTGCTGCTCTATCATGTGTCTCTTCAATGTATCATTATTAAACCAGATTTTTTAAAATCATATCACTTTGGTGATTTCAAGTGTGTCATATTTCCTTTTCAAATGCTATTTCTTGAATCCTTCAGCCTGGTGAGTATAGACAAGGTTATTTTCCAGTTTTGAATAAATTTATTTTCTGTGAATAAATTATATTCTATGATCCACACGTGGAGTGGGGAAGATAATCTGTGTTTGAACCATTGAATGTGGCCACTGAGAGAATTTTTTTCTAAGAAGTTTGGAGTTTGACAGAACTGAGTCAAATAGTAAAGAATCTGTTTATTATTCCKCGGCCATATGTTTAGAGGGTCGCTCACAGAAATCAAAGTATTGTTCATGGAGAGCTCCAGCTAAGGAGACATTTTGAATTCATAAAAGAACTTCACAGTTTGAAAAGAATGCATAGCATTATGTATTGACACCCCACCACCATAGACAAAGGAAYACAATTTAATAATAGAGAATTGTGCTCATGAGATTTTTCTTTTTCTTGTTAATTGGTTACTTTAACTGACATTGTCTGCAAGTATAATGGACACCATTATTCTTAATAGTTCTGCATTGCCAGATGATGTATACAGACATGATGTAGTCCATTTTAATTATTTCATTTTGCTAGATATTTTTTTCCTCCATGAAAAATAGTAGTGAACGCAGAAAACACTTTTTCCCTTGACAGACTGTGCTGCATAATGTTACTTTCTGAATTATTGAAATTAAAAGGGCATTTCTCGCCAACCTAATGTTTCCTTCCCTGTTGTTTTTTTTTTTTTTTTTTTTTTTTTGGTGCCAGGTATGACTATGTGGAAGTCATTGATGGAGAAAATGAAAATGGACGTCCATGGGGAAAGTTTTGTGGAAAGATTGCCCCTTCTCCTGTGGTGTCTTCAGGGCCGTTTCTTTTTATCAAATTTGTCTCTGACTATGAGACGCACGGTGCAGGATTCTCCATACGTTATGAAATTTTCAAGAGAGGTGAGTGAGTAACTGACAGAACAAGTATGACTAAAAGATGATTTAACATTGATTTTACAAAAGGCAAAGTCAAAAGAAAGACGGGGGCGATGCTGTTATTCTTTCCTAAAGAATACATTTGCTCCTTACAACATGTTGAAAAATGCATTAAATAAAACTACCCATTGTGCAGAGGAAGTTTGTTTAAAATTGAACAGAAGCATTTTAAGAATCAAAATTGCATTATTCTGATGTATTCACCAGTGTGTATAAGGAATACACTCCATAAAATTCTTTAAAGAGTATTCTTTTTACTCTTAGAGTTTGATTTTTTTAATGTGTGAAAAAAATGTATTATTCTCTCTTAAAGCCATCTACTTCCTGTTCCCTTTATTTTATTACAAAATTCAAAACTGATAGTTCTCAGGAAAAACAAAACTGCCCACCAGCCTCATAGTTTCCATCACTACTTGGGGAGGGGATATAGGAAGAGGCTTTCTACTCATGGGAGGTTAGTTGGGTGAGGAACCTATTATAGAAAACAAAAGAACAATGCGTTCAGTGGCATTCCCCCAGGAATGAAATCTCAGTTACCCTCTCTATTACAAGCATTTACTTATCTTCTGTTGCAGTGGTGTATATTGGATTTTTGGGGGGATAGAATCTGACTATTCATAAGCTCCCAGACTTGAGGTATTGTTAGTTAGCCTTCTGTTACTGTAACAAAATACCTGAAATAAATAAACTTAAAAAGAGATTTTATTTGGCTTACAGTTTTCGAGGTTTTAGTCCATGGTCAAGTGACCCCATTGCTTTTGGGCCTGGGATGAGGCAGCACATCCTGATGGCACAGCGCACAACAGAATCAACTGTTCACCTATTGGCTGGGACATGAAAAAGAGAGAGGAAGGGTTGGGGTCCCATAATCCCCTAATGACTGGAAGACCTCTCATTAGGCCCCATTTCTTAATGTTTCCACACCTTCAATAGTGCCAAACTGAGGACTAAACGTTTGTCATATGGACTTTTGGAGGACACTCCAAATCCAAACTCTAGCAAGACAAGGTAACTTTATTTGAAAGTCACTGTAGATTCTTCTTCTGTATTAAGTTCAGCCTTTTCTATTACATGCATTTTAAAGTTAGTGTTAATGTGTTGGCAATCCAGGGATAGATGCCCAGGTTTTGAATATATTATCCTGAAGTAGAATAGGAAGTGCCGAAGTATAACTGAAAGTTGGTTTAATAGAAAAAATTCAGCCATACCAGTTTGAACATCTCAGGTCCTTTGGGTCAGTGTCAACGGAAAATAATGAAAAGTCGAGTCATTGGGAGTTTGGGGGAATACTGGTACCACTTTGTTAAATTTCTGATATCTGTTTTTGCCCCCATAGAGATAGAACTTTCTTCAGAAATTTCCTTAGAACAAATTCCATTAGTACAAATGATAGTATACATATAACATCAGTATAAGCATATGTTTATATATGTACATATTTTCTTGTGTTGAAAGCTGTTTGATTTATTACATGAATCATATTACACATATATGTATATGTATAAACACATGCATGTCTACATCCTCTTGCCTTCTTGCCTGGAGAACTACCAAAGACAAAAGATTTCAGAAAGTCTTCAGTTTTTCTCATGAAGATGCTCAAAAGAAAAAATTTAAAAAAAAAAGAGAGAGAGAGAGAGATCTTTCAAAACCGATATCCCTGAAATTTGAAAAAAATACCACTATTTCCAGAAACTCCTAATGACTGTACTTTTCTTTATTCTGCTCCTCAAGAATTCTTCACTTATGCTCCAGATGAACTCAGTTTCTTACATTCTTTAGTCTCAGATGACCATAATTTCACTGTCGAGCTATCCAACAGCATCCTTGGGAATCAAAGCCTTCCTTTCTTTCTCTTCTGGACTCTCTACATCTAGCATGACTTTTAGTTCTTACTTTTTATCCAAATGTCTCAACAAATCACAGCTTCCTATATGTCCCACTGCCATTAACCAAATAGGCACAGATTGTGGTTCTCCCATGTTACTTAGTGCTGACACACAGGCATCAAGTGCAGTCCTCAGAACACCTATAATGGGTTTCCATCACCTGTTAGGTTAACACTCAGTTCCTGCTTGAGGCTGGTTGCCAACTACACCTGCACTTGGACTTGTCCACCTGTGACTCTTCCAGATCTGCAACCTATCTTCCTCCTTCAGGACAAGGCACTGGTTAGTCTCAGCAGAACAGAGTGTGAATTTGAATTTTGCTGCTGGCTATCTGTGTGAATGCACAGAGCCTTAGTTTCCTGATCTGAAAAAAAAAAAAAAAAAAGAAAACCAACAATAACAAAAAATGACAAACAAATGAAATATGGAGACTATACCCAGCACTGGCGTATTGTGAAAATCAGATGAGAACATGGAAAATATGTGGCCAATGCCTGCCACTGACAACATGTTTGCTAAGCAATACTGTTAACAGTGATTATGGATAAAGATAGTGCCTTCAAAACACAGAACCCTTGTTCTCGTCCAGTATAATCATTCTCTTCTTAGGAATTTGACTCCCGTGTTTTTTTCCTCAGGAAATCTCTTTGTTGTTAATCTGATTTTTAAAAAAAATATATGCACTCAAGTTGTCATCTGTGTTGTATTCTATATACTATATACAGTATGTGGAATATTTTTGTATGTGTACAAGCATAGAATACACACACACACTCCACTGGCTAATATTTTCAAATTATTTCATATCATGTATGTTTTACTTCCCAACTAAATGAATACTACTTGAAAAATGCAAATAACACATATTTTTATGCACTGCATACATGTAATTATACACTCCATAGAAATTATTAATATAGTACATTTTTGTATGTGTGTATATATATATATATATATATATATATATATATATATATATATCATGAATGTTTTATGCCCAGAAACTATTTAGTAATATTGCAGAATCTGTAAATCTCTGTTCTTTTGAAAATATGCCTCTTCTTTCAGGGTGCCGCCATTTCAAGTTTCCTCAAAACACACAAGTTATGCTAATCACAGTTTAATGCAACCAGGAAATTGATCTTTTACCTGATGACCTTGAATTTTTCAAAAGAATACAGTTCGAGATTTAGACCATTTCTGAATCCCTAGGGCTACCTGTCTAGAGGCCCATCTTTCCCTGACAGTCAGCAAGGCCAGTCCCCATCTCTTAAACCATTCCTCCTGAGTCATCCTAAACCACCCTAATTCTTCCCCAAAAGCCTTATAATTATCCTCATTCACCTAATGAAATTTCTCCAGGAAACCTAAGCCTCCCTACCTATCACTCTATCCCTGTCCTTCTCTTTGGACTGGGTCATCCAGTCTGTGATGCTGGAAGAGGCTGAGCAGTTTTGGTGGGTCTCAGAGTGCAGGATGAGTGTCATTTGTTGAAAGCAGGATTGGCCACTTGATAACACATTATACAATTAAGAGTCTATGTATTTAAGCTGGGTGCGATGGTGCATGCCTATAATCCCAGAAACTTGGGAGGCTGAGGCAGGAGGATCACAAGTCTGAGGCCAGCATCAGCAATTCAGCAAGGCTCTAAGCAACTTGATGAGAACCTATCTCAAAATAAAAATAAAAAGGTCTGAGGATGTGGCTCAGTGCTTAAGTGCTTCTGGGTTGAATCCCTGATAACAACAACAACAACAACAACAAAAACCCAAGAGTCTATATATTTAATAATAATTTCAAACTATTATTATTATCTGACCTCATCATCATTAACAACTTGTGGCTATATAAGTACTCTTGATCTTATAAATAACATCAAAAGCATGTTGTCTGTCACTGGCTCCAGATGTGCACACAAGCAACCCTCACATCTGCAGCTTATCTGCTCCTGCTGCACACAAGGCTGCTGGCCTCACTCTTGGGTACTCACTGCAGAATTCCGGAACCCTCCCTGTCCTTTTTAGAGGAAGCACTTGTTCATCTGTGGCAGCAACTAAGATAAATATCAATATGGAAACAAAATTTGAAGAAAATATGAAACTACAGAATCTTTAGGTTAGAAGAGATTTTTTTTTTTTTTCCAAATCCGAAACCCAACTCTTACGTTATACACAGAATCTGAGAACCAGAAAGATTAAGAGGCCACCTGAGGCTGCATAGCATGTTAGTGGTAAAGGCAAGGCTGGAACTCAGATCTCCTGACATTCAACCTGGTTCTCCTCCATTATCCCAAGAAATGTCCCCACACTGTGTCAAGATAACTAGGAAACCTGGGATAGCTTTCAAAGGTATGTGATGTGACAAGGACCCAGTGGAAATGTTGGAATTCACTTCGTTTTGAAAGTATGCTGGTAGTTCCTGTCCCTTTTTTTCTTTTATTAAGTCTTCATCCCATGTGGATGAGTTTATCTTTTTGAGAAGGAGGGAATTTTCTTTTTTTAAACCTTAAAAAATACTTTTATTCTCTAAACAGAAATGAAACTGTTCTGCTGTCCCCATGTATTATTTCTTACTTCTAAAGTGTAACACAGAAGAAAGCCTTTCTGAATAGTGGCTTTTGTCCATCACATGTTTGGAGAGGCTGAAGAAGTCATTGATACGTCATTATACCAGAAACACATTTTGCATTAATTGTGACTTATAGTTCCCAGCATTTGTTCTACAAATTGCATTAGAAGGTAAGGGAGACCATGGTAGGGTTCAGGATGTGGAATAAGAGATAGCTTCAAAACATTTAACTACTAACACCCTGACTAGGTATTCAACATTTAGAAACTAAAAAGATTCTCAAATGTTTTTTTTCATTATTATTAAAGCTGTGTAGATACCTTTGACAAATACTATATTGGCAATATGGATGAGAAGGAGGGAATATTAATACCTGCATTAGGGGCTGGGATTGTGGCTCAGTGGTAGAGCACTCACCTAGCATGCATGAGGCCCTGGGTTTGAACTACAGCACCACATAAATGTAAAATAGAGATATTGTGTACACCTAAAACTAAAAAATAAATATTAAAAAAAATAATAAAACCTTGCTGTTTGCTTTGCCTTACAAGGCCAAGCCAGCACATTTCCCTCAGAGAGAAGGATAGAGGTGTCCAGGGTCACTGTTACTATATTTTGAAAGTTAAATTCTAAGGTGCTCCCAATATCCTATAGACAGAGAGATAAATAGATACATATATGTATGGGATGGATGGTTGGATGAATGGACTGATGGACAGATATTCTTTGTGAATTAATGGTAAGAACAGTGACTCAAACTGGCAAAGTCACTGTTATCTCAGGAGTCCTAGAGTAACTTAGAAATGGATTTTTAAACCTTTACCTAGACCTGGCCTGGTAAAATGCAATACATTAATAACTTTTTAACAACCAGAATCAAACAGATAAGCATTTGAGGCCATCATGGTGAAGTATGGGCCAACAAGGTTTGGGAGTTATTTTGAACCAGTCAGACTTCTGCAGGACAGGATTACTGCACCCATACAGTAAATACCATTCTTCTGCTCTCCAGTGCCATGCGTTGCTCATATGAGTGCAAGGAGAGAGGCACTGTTTTGTTTTCTCAGTACACTGTCAAATGGAGATGGAGATTCAGTTTACTGACCTAGCCACTAAAATCAGAGATCTGCGAGTTAAATTTAATCTGCCTTGATGCCTGGTAATTTACCACTGGTTGCTAGTCACATAGAGAGGAGGATATTTACTTAAGAGCAATCTCTAAAACCACCTGACTTGGAGTTCAATCCTTGCATGCTATTGCAGGAGGCCCATCACTTCCAACTATGAGCYATAGTGAGAGAATGATGTAGGAAAAAAAAATTGTTGAATCAAATACCCCCAGGCTTGATCCTGAGATTCCAAAGGGTCAAGTCATCTTTTGAGTCACAGTCTTCAGTGTAGCCATTTGAAAATCATGGCAATGGTGGTGGTAATAGAAGGCAGAATGGATAGGTTCATGTTACTATAGGTAGGAGGTGGGTTTTTTGGTGGTGTGGTCAATTCCACCCTACTCAGTGCTAGATACCATGAATTGAAATTGGGCTCATTCATACAGTCATAAGGTTAACCTGTGCTATGTATGAATGCCCTGGATCATTTTCAATTACAAATCACCATAATTGGTAAAGTCTTCATAATATTGAAAGGTCATTAAAATTACATATTATAAATATGTACATACACACATTATATGTATAAGTACACACACATTATACACACACATCCATTAACCTGCAATTTTAGAATGGTATACTGTACTGGAGCTGATACTTTGGGGAAGGTTAGGATGTCGACGTTGATATCAGGTGACTGACTTCCAGCATCGTGGCCTGTAATCACAGTTTATCGTGCCCTCACTAACAGCCACACGTTACCAGCACACCTGTGTCAACACCACTCAGAATGAGTCACTCGCCCTGGGTACATGTACGAATTACCTTTCACATTTAGTTTGTCAAAGAGGCATAGGTCACATCTGGCAGAGTTACTGAGTCACTGGTGTAGGAATCTGAAACCCAAACTCCCTCTGCAGAATTCTCTCCCTTGCCTTTGTAAATGTTCTATTTCACCAATAAAGGGCTGTCAGCCTCAAGATTTAAAGATTTAAGCTTGAAGGGGCTATAATTATTTCTCTAGGGCTCTGTCGAGATTTCTGCAGCTTACTCATTCATTGTTCCCACATGATTTTATATTTGTCATTTTTTTTTCCTCCTGCAACAGCAGAAGGCTTTAAATTGCTTCACATAAATGGAAAACTAAGGAGAGCACAATAAATCTGAATTTGACTTGCCATACCTATCACTAATATGAAAAGGCTGAGTAATGCATGATTAGGAGAGTGATTATAATGGTGGGCTTTCATTAGAAAAATATTGTCTTTGCCCAGGTTATTTCTCAGTGAAGTTATTTAAGTGGGATTTTCACTCTCCTCCTTTTTTTTTTTTCTCGTTTATTCATAGGTCCTGAATGTTCCCAGAACTACACAACATCTAGTGGAGTGATAAAGTCCCCTGGATTCCCTGAAAAATATCCAAACGGCCTTGAATGCACTTATATTATCTTTGCACCAAAGATGTCCGAGATAATCCTGGAATTTGAAAGCTTTGACCTAGAGCCTGACTCAAATCCTCCAGGGGGGATGTTCTGTCGCTATGACCGACTAGAAATCTGGGATGGATTCCCTGATGGTAAGAGCTAAGATCAGTATGAAGCATTCCCCAAAGAGGAAAGACCTGGGGGGCAGGGTACGGGGATTCTTTTACAAGTGTCATGATACATGCATCTTTTTTTTTTTTTTTCATAATAGCTCAAAAGGGCAAGGGAAAACAAAGCAAAATGGCAGCTCTCCACTGAGCCAGAGATGAAGTATTTTATCTCAGAAAGACCTTAGTAATTATCTGTGCAAATCCTTCATTTTAGAGATAAGGAAGCTGAGGCCATGAAGGATTATTCAAGGTCTTTAGAACAGAGACCAACACATACATTTCCTGACTAAATCATTTTCCTCATTTCACTGTCCTGCCTACTGGTCATTAATTCATAAACTGTCAGAGGATGGGATCTTCAGAGAGCACTGAAATAAAACCACTTGTTTTTACAAAAAAAAAAAAAATACAGACTAAGAATCAGAGAAGTTAAATACTTATTTTTAGACATTTAGGAAAGAGAATGAGATTATTTGGGCATTCCTCATTCCACACTTGCTATTTAAGGAATTTTCATCTTTGGCAATTTGAGTCACTACAATATATCATTTATATTCTTTGCTCCTATTAACTGAATTAATTCCTACATCTAAAAAATATTTATTAAACACCTACTCTGTATCAGGCCCACGGTTCTAACCACTTGATAAGCAAAACAATYAAAGATGGCTGCCCTTTCGGAGTTCATATTCCTCCAGAGGGAGTCAGACAATAAACAGTGCACAGTACAAATAAAGTGATATGTGCCTGGGATGTTAGAAGAGGACAAGTGGTATCACAAACCAAGAAGGAGAGGGGGGGGAGGGGTAGGAGGGAGATGTCACTGTCAAAAACCACCGCAGGAAGGAAGGCCAGTGGAAAGGAGAGAGATACAGGGATCTTTTTTTCATAGTAGCTCAAAAGGACAAAGGAAGAACAGAGCGGAATGAAAGGATGAGAAATTAGAGGAGGAGGAAGTAAAGGTTAAAACTTTAAATAGAGTGGTCAGATTAAGCCATATCAAGAAAGTAACATTTGAGCAAATATTTGAAGGACATAGGGGAAACTATCCATGTGGACATCGAATGAAAGTTTTTTTTTTCCATTCAATCCTAGTGAATTCGAAGACTGAATGGCAAAAATACATACCCAAATTCTGAATGGAGGGAGATAGCATCAAATAATGTGTTGCAGCTGCATTGCTTGTCTTGTGATTAGTCTGCTTTAATATTAAGATTTCTCCAGTGCACACACACTACACAGATCAGAAAGGACAACTTGGAAGTCCTTAGTGGTCATTCAGCTAGAGAAGTATAACCATCTATGAAACAGAATTGGAGTTTATTCTCAAGTAGGAGGAAAAATTGTTAGAATAAGTTGTCAATAAAGAACAAATAGAGGGACTGGAGTTGTGGCTCAGTGGTAGAGCACTTGCCTAGCATGTGTGAGGTACTTGGTTCAATTCTCAGCTCCACATATAAATAAATAAATAAATAAATAAATAAATAAATAAATATAAAGGTCCATCAACAACTAAAAATATATATTAAAAATTAAAAAAAAATAGAACAAGTAGAATGAGAACGAGATTGCCTAGGTCTTTGAAATAACATTACAATTATAAGTAATTTTATCTGTAAATTGTATTAGAGAAAAACTGATTTTAGAGATGCCTTACATTCATTGGTGTAAATGCACCCATTTACTAAGTTAACCTTAGTTTAATATCTTCTTTGGTCTTTTACCTATAAATAGGTTTATGATGATCTTAGCAATTACTTCATTAAGTAATGAGATTTTTTCCTAAACACAGTACTGACTGATTTCCAAGTATTCAATATGATAATTAGGAAAACAATATTATAATAGTGTTGTAACAATAGTTGGGACACTTAATAATGGGTTTATTTGTTCATAACCCAAGTTTGCAGCCTTCCTTTCTAGAACTTTCATTTAAATTGACATCTGAAGAGAAGGTCCAATCAACCAACTTATTTAGAGTATTTTCAGAAAGAAGCACATTGTTATTAGTGTCAAGGGTTTTCCAAAGTAGTAATTTTCTGGCTCTAGAAAATCACTGAGTTGAAGCAAAGAACAATGAACAATAAGAATCATCAGCCTTGCAATTCACCCATGTTTTGAACTATGGTGTGTTTCTCACTTATTCCTGGGGAAACTGGCTTTGGACTATGAAAAAATGTTTGTATCTTTGTTACTGTTTACCTGGCCTTATCTAGCTACACCTGCATAACAGCTCTTTTTTAGGCAAAATGAGAAATTGTCCTCCTGTGGTTTTTGTGTCACTAGAAACATTTTGTCATAGTAGTTCAACACACATACTTCCTCTGCCAACAAAATTACTGTTAGTCTTTGATATCTTTTCCAAAAACAACAAGCAGAAGGCGCTGAAGGCTTTTAACCATCAAGTGATTTTATGTTGCACTTTATCATAAACATTGAATTAAATGACTAAGTAATTGAAAGCTATCCATTGATTCAAATTGGCTTTGAAGAAAAACAGTTTACTCCAAAACTCAAAATTCAAGCCATGCATGTTGTCAATCACACATCTCCATCTATCTCTCTCTTTGAAACTCTATGGATTCTCAAGTAACTATTCTGGAGGCATTGGTGGAGGTTTACATATGGTTTGAGCCACAGTAGACATGCTGCCTTGGTGGACATTGCAGGAGCCTGTGCTGAAGGTTGGAGCAAAAAAAATGCTTAGTTCACAGGACTAATGTTAGCTCACAGCACTTGGGGGCAGATACAGTCAACCCTCCACCTAAGCTGACATCGCTATGGACAGAACTGCCATTGTTACCCACCTCCCCAAATAATCAACCATCTCAGAAATAAGTCTCATAATAGGAAGAAGGGAAGTTTTGTTTCTTATTTACTTTTACCTTTAAATTAACCTTCTAAACCACAGTGATAAACATGAATATACTATTGGGTGTAATTCCAAAATTTATTGTTAGTACTCTAGATATTTTCCATCAAATGATTTCTTAGTTTAAGTAAGTTAGAGATGGCCTATCTTGTGCCTTCAAAATGATTCCCTTTTTTATTTATTCAAAATATTTCATTTCAAAGGATGATATCACAGTCAATCTTTGCTCCCCCCATCCCTCATTAGAAAGCAGTAGAAAGCCAAATTATCTTGGTTCTAAGATAGAGTTGCAATTATTGCAGAAATTATTGGGAAAAAATACAAACAAAAACAAACAGATAAACAAAAACAGTGTGCTATTGCCACCCACTGTTGCCAGTGGATCTTTTAATCATCACCAATACTCTATTTTATACCTTCTAGTTCTGTTCTCCCTCAAATGATAGCTTGGTGCATCTTGCCTGCCTACATTCTTCTATAATTCAATTTTTGAATTATCCTCGTGGTTTTTTRTGAGAGTTTTCATTCATCTCCTTGGCCTTTAGGTCCCTGGTAACAAAGAGGAAATCCAATAGCTGCGTTCATGTAAATACACAAATGAGCACACACACGAGCCGGATAAGAGTACTTCACCCACTCTGGTTCAGATCAATATTGCATTAGCTTGCTAGGCTAAGGTCTCGCTGTTGTTCAGGAAAATTCAATACCTCTTTGTATTATCGTGGCAAAAGCCTTTCACTCTCTTATCTTGAGGGCTCCTAAAGAGAGTTGCATGCTGCTGTCCGGGGGCAATGTTCTAAAGGACAGAAGGCAGATTTACCCAGCATGTCTTAAACATTATAAACCAGTGAGTCATGGAGACTCTCTAAATTATGAGTCTGCATTAGACAAGTTCTCTTCTGTTTCCTCTTTCAAAGAGACTCCCCCTTCCACCCTCCCCAAAGGAATGGGGTGATAGTGGAGGGGGAGGATCGGCCGCCAGAGCTTCCTTGGGATGTTCACCACCTCCCTTGCCATATTCTTGAGAAGGTCAGTGGCTGTGGTGATCAGAAAACGACCCCGAGGATTAGGGCTTTAAAAGTTTGCCCACAAACTAAAGAAAAAGATTATGAAACCACACTAATGGAATTTAAATGAGGGAAAAATGTGAGGGAGGATGAATGGACTCTAAGCTCCCATTTATAATTACAGACAAGAAGTGGGATTCTTGTTTGAGGGAAGGAAAGACCTGAGTTTGTGGCTCTAGCAGGATATTTTCCTGGATATGTTATGGGCAACATGGAAGTCTTCAGGGAAAGAAAAATATATTGAGTTCATGGTAGGACCACATCCAGAATGAATCAAATCTAGCAAAAATTAGCATTTATAGAAGAATTTGAGGCCGAGGTTTACCTGAAAAGAAGCCAAAGACAGTAAGTTTTATCTCTTGGAGATACTTTATTCTGAGAACTGGGAAGCCTGATTTAACAAAATTCTCTTCCCATAATGCAAAGTGATAGTCCAAGACAAAGTGATGCTCCTTACATATTCTGTTATCAGTCCCCTTCATTGGGTGACCCTCCTTGTTTTTGTTTTTTGTTTTTTTTTTTCATGGTAAAGCATTCTGTATACACAAGACATTTGGTTATATCAGAGAGGATTTCAGTAGAAAGAACAGTCTTTGAATTCAGACATATTAATTACTTTGAATGCATAGAAACATTTTCAGGAATTCAATATAACTATTTTGCAGGAACTCAAAGATATGAACCACTTCAGATTAGTTTAGTTTTTTTTTTTCTTTTGTTGGGGGTAGGGAGGCTGCTTATTTTAAGAGAATTGGTCGGGCTGCAAAAATATCAGCAAAAGATCTACACATTCCAAAAAGGAAGGTGTTCAGATTAGCTGCCCATTAAGAACTCAGTTGGTACTCTGGACCCCAAGAAGATGGGTTCTTGTGGGGTTTGCTTTTGCAATCACACTTGAAACATCTCCCAGGTCTTATCAGCTGTCCTGTGCATCCGAGTTGCACACACAGGCCTTGGATCACCATGCCCCCTTGAAGGCCTGTTCCCCCAGGGAAATATCCACCTACTGTGCATTCTTAAATGAAGCAATAATTCTTAGTTGAAATGCACAGAACCATGTATTTCTGGGAGGGGAAAACAGTCCATACCAGATTGTCCTTCTAAGTCCAAACCATCTGGTGTGTTTTTTTTACCATATGTGCAATGAAAAAAAACCTAGAGAGAAAGGATTTTTTTTTTTTTGTCTTGCTACTGAACTGGGCAGGGAAATGGAAATATTCTCTAAGTACAAGGGTCTTCTGCATTATTCATGAGGAAACTTATAATCACTCATTGCCAAGGTTTGTCTAAAGCACTTTAACAAAGGTGTGACCAGCTTAAGCCAAATAACAGTTTGACTTTAATACACATTTGTCAATGTTTTAGACTGTCCATTGCCTCGGGTACACTTTTTCTCCTGTTTTGCATGGGCAAATGGCTGCTTTGGGCCATTTCTTGGCCACCAGACAGTATAATGTAGTCACTTCTCTTAGGCTTGGAAGAGAAAATAAAACAAGCTAGAATGACCCAATTTCCATTCAGTTTGCTTATAACTTACTATTATGTATAAATCGTTAGCATCTAAAGTTTTAAAATTTTTAAATCATGGCAATTATTTTTTGGTCTTCAAATGCAGTCCTGAGTAGAACATGATCCTTTGTCTTTCACCTAAGTCTGTGATGTGGATCATATTTAGACTCCAGGGCTGAAAGATGGAATGAGGAAGGAAATTGGGCTTTCACAGTCCTAGAGTAGACCCCCTGTACAGCTCTGCTTTTCAGGACATAGGTCTTTCAGAGGATCTCCTCCAAGGATGGAGAAGTGAGGACAGGCAAATCCAAGAGAACGCAGTGAGCACAGTCTAGCTGGAGTCTCTCAGTGCTGGGCTGTGCATACAACTTGGCCCTGGAGATGAATGCCAAGGTGCCACTTGACAGGCCAAATCTCATTCTTTGCAATTGAAGCAAGCATTTCGATTCTGTTCCTGAAAATGATCCTGCTCACTGGGGAATGTGGTTATGCCTGTTACTGCCCTTTTGAGTACACTTTAAAATCCTCTCTGCAAACCTGATCCAATATGTTCGCTGCAAACCAATTAACTAGAGAAGACTTGCTTTGGGTTAGAATAGACTTCTGGATTCTGCTGGGACCCATGTTTGTAAATGGTTATTTTTACATCTGCTGTAGAAGAAAAGACACTTTGACATTCTCTATATTTCTGCCTTTCCAGTTGGCCCTCACATTGGGCGTTACTGTGGACAGAAAACACCAGGTCGGATTCGTTCCTCATCGGGCATTCTATCCATGGTTTTTTATACCGACAGTGCAATAGCAAAAGAAGGCTTCTCAGCAAACTACAGTGTCTTGCAGAGCAGTGTCTCAGAAGGTCAGTATTATTCATCTTGCAAAGCCCTGTGGTAAATATTCCCTGTTATTCGTCTCTACACACCTGCGGCCACATGAAACGCTAAAGCTATGTTTTGTGAACTGGGGTTCTAAGTGTTTGTTTTTCTCTTTAAAAATTTTTTGTATGTGTGTTTTTATGAATATCAACAGGAAAAACTATTTGGTGTGCTCTCTCCATAAAATTGTGGATGAGCCTCTGAAATTATGGTAAGAAGTGGGAAATGGCAAAAGAGTGCCTCAAAACAATGAAATATGACCAGACCACCTCCCTGTCACCCTCAAATGAATAATAGACTAAGAATCATAAAAGGAGAGGATTGGATCCCAGATGATAAGGACAAATGGGAGGTAGTTGATGAGCGGAACAGTCACAGAGTGAATAGTGTATGGCGGTTGGTTGTGAAGGACCCTGAGGGAAGCCATTCTATTTTCTTTCTTACCTGAGTAAAAGGAGATATTCATGTAAAAGCAGCACATTTTAAATTTTGTTAATGCCTTGCTTTCAAAGCAAGAAAGTAACATATTTTTTTATCCTATTAAAGTACTCAACTAACTCAATCCTTTCTCAAAGTTCAGGTGGTTTCCACCCCTTTTCAGAGTCTGAGAACAAAATAGGAAGAACAAAGTTACATTTTCATATTTCATCAGTTCTGACCAACAAGTCATTTACTGAGAGGACATGGGGTATTTGGAGACCTATTCCAGAGATGCTAGTATCTTCTCGACAAGATCTTACTAGAAAATAAAACAACCAATAACATTTGAAAATCTTATTTGTACTTAATTTGACTAATTAATTGACCTATTATGTGCCAATAAATACTGTTTATATTACAAATAGTGAACCTAACTTTAATGTGTGAAACCAGTGGGAAAAATTTTTTTTATGTCATAAAACCTTATCTATTAGGTTAGAAAATTCAGATAACACAAAACCTTGATATGTTACTCAACCTTAGTATGTTAGTCTACTTTTCCTTAGGGTCACACATACCTGAGATATAATACATGAGATATAAAGAGACCAAAATTATAAATAGATTGTAAAGAGTTTTAGAGGTTCCCATCCATACTTGTTGACTACGTTGCTTTGGGGCCTGTAGTGAGATAGTACATTATGGTACATCATGGCAGGAGTGCGTGGTAGAGCATAGCCACTCACCTCATGCTCAGAAAGCAAGAGAGTAGAAAAGAGATCAGGGTCCTATAATCCTCTTTGAGGGCACATCCCAAATGACCTAAAGACCTCTCACCAGGCTCCACCTCTTAAAGGTTCTACCACTTCCCCATAGCGCCTCCCTGGGAACCAAGCCTTTCATACATCAACCTTACGGGATTTAAAATTCAAACTAGGAAACTGGAATTTTCTGGATGGTTGAGAAACTTCCATTTAAATCATAAAGCTTTGTGTATTTTCCACTTTTGAATTGGAATTTTTCAAAAATTGATTACTTCCTTCCCAATATCACTAAATATACTAGGCCTAATGGAATATACATTTTGATGATTTGTGGTCATTGATGTGAGCATTATTATTTTATGTTATAAAACTGTGATGTTCTTTGGGCCATATGATGCTGTAGTTTAGCCCTAATGGACACTTTTATGTTTTAATAAAATAACTAAGAATGTTAATAATTATGACCATTCCAGGATCAAGGGGCATGAAACAAAAGGACTGAGGGAGAGGTGGCCGAGGTGCCAATTGCAAGGAGTTTGAAAGACAAGAGACTTCCAATCTACTGAATATGAATTGCAAATAGACATAGAGTCTTTTTCAGTTTTTCAAGATATTAGAGAAAATAATCCAAACTAAAATTTTTTTTAAATACAGTTTTTGATGTGTACTCATCTGACAGATGCACAGCACAATGCATGCATTCATTGTTGAAAATAAATCAGAATCTTCACCCTTTCCTAATGTCTTTCAAATATTATTTTTGTCAACCTAGACCTACATGAGAAAATCATTAATCACTGTGATGATAATCATGGCCTTATTTTTAAATGATGCCATGAAAATACATGTATCAATGCTATATTTTATTAAGTTCCTTGCTGCTATCTTTTTGAGAAACTCTGAGTGAATGAACTCTTTAGTTTGCCAGATTCAAAAGAAAATTGCACCTTTGATCCCTTATGTTTTGATGACTTTGGGTCACATTTTTTCCCTCTAGATTTCAAATGTATGGAAGCTCTAGGCATGGAATCAGGAGAGATCCATTCTGACCAAATCACAGCTTCTTCCCAGTATAGCACCAACTGGTCTGCAGAGCGCTCCCGCCTGAACTACCCTGAGAATGGGTGGACTCCTGGGGAAGATTCCTACAGAGAGTGGATACAGGTATGTAGCACAAGACCTGGCCTAGCTAGCTAGGGTAAAGGATGGATGGTTCCAGTTGCTTTGAAAAGCTGCTGAATAGAAGCAATATCAGGTAAAGTGTCTTCAGATGAGAAGAGATGGGAAAGGCCCTAGGCATAACTCTACAGAATAATCCCTCACTACACAGTCAGGAGGGCATGTTCAGAAACCCCCCCTGAGAATCYACTGACCTTCCCAGATCCTCATACATGGCTCTTCACACAATTTCAGTACAGATGGCTGATAACAACTAAAAGATCTGATCTTTTTCCAGCGACTATATACTTTCCTCACATTTCCTATTTTGACATATGCTGATTCCCTTGATGAAATATATACATTCTACTTGTAGCTGTGCATGAAATTACTGTTTCCAAGTTTAGGGTTTTCTGGTTGTTCAGAGTTGAAGAAGGGAATGTAGGGGTTGCATTGTATTTTTTACATAGGTCTATGGAGCACACACCCAAGAAGGGGTTTAATTGAGGGCTCAGATCTCTGTTAGTTATTATTCATGTATATGTATGAAATTATTAGTGACCTCGTTCATGATGTTGATTCTGCTTTTCTTACTTTGCTCTAACATGGTCTTCCCTGCCACAACTATATACCCCACTGATCCCTCCTCATCTTCCCCCTTCCCATTCATTGTCACCATTTTCTAGCAACCTAACCTACCCTATTCTCATCCCCAATACCATCCCCAATGCCTGATCTTGCCCAGATTTGACACCTGGATGTTCCTACCCAAGTTCTGATGTACACATTCTGGAGTTTTTCACCCACTGGCAAATGAAACATATGTACCTGGATCTTTAGGTTAAACTGCGAATTATACAAAAAGGTATTTGCTAAAGAATCCAGATTTCCTATCCAGGAGAGTATCCAGAGCCTGTCTTACATTCATGCCAGATATATTAAAATGACTAATTCTCAGAGAGAGTTTCTAAGCAAGAAAAAAAAACGATGATTTATCCTCTCCTTTCCACATCTATTGCTATTTCAGTCTTTTGAGCACAAATACCAGATTTTGTTTTACTTTGGAAAGGTCAATATTAGTTTAACATACACTTAAAATGAAATAGCCTATTATAGGAGACTGAACTCATGCTAACCTCTAAATGATAACACTGAGAAATGTGGAGAGGGTGAGAAAAGATGAGACTTTTACCTTGGGATTGCTGAATCGGGCTCTAGATTAAGCCGGAAACAAAATGAATTTGCCTCTGTCAAATAGCTCTTGGTAACTTGTTTTTCCACATCTCCAAACCAACAAGCAGTTCAGTATGATTGACAGATGTGCCTCTAGAGGAAAGCTTACATTTTGCAGTGCTAAGCATGTTTGCATGGTAATGTAGTCAGTCCTATTCTTGGTAATGCTGAGAGCACTCAATAATGTAGGGCCAGTGGTCTTGCAAGAGTTCTGAAATTGCAACTGTAGCAATTCTTCTGTGCAAGGCAATTCTATGTCTGTAGAAACATGGAGACCAAATGGGCTTTCACAAAGCATTTGTCAAGAGGACAGGATTTTACATCATTCTTCAGAGTTAGGCACAATTTAAGATTGCTACAGAAGAAAAAAAAAATCTCAATGCATCCAACTCTTTCTGTTCACAGAATAGCATGGTCAGGAGAAGTGAGGTAACCCAAGTTCCTCCAAAATGAAGTTTTACTTCTTGCTCATGCTATTCCAGCACTGGGCCAGCTGGAGCTCTGCTCCACATCTTCTCACCCTGGCACCCAGGCTGAGGGAGCTGCCATCTTCTGAAATGGTGCTGCCACCAAGGCCGGAGGAGAAAGAAGGTGTGGACCATCATGCTGGCTCTTGAGGTTCCCTCACAGAGCACTTCCACATATCATTGCCAAAGCACATTACTTAGCCATACTTAATCAAGGGGCAGCAGGAAGGCACAGCTTGACAAGTGCTGTAGGGAACAGAGAGGGGAATGCTTGTTGAACAGCTTGAATGGCAATTGTACCATTCACAGACCACTTACCATTTATTGACAGCTTATGTGGCCTGACATGTGCTATGTACTTGACCTATTTTTTATTTAATCCTCACCACAGTCCTGGGTAGGAAATGTAATTTTCCCCATCATAAAAACGAGGACACTGAGATTCAGAGAAATTAGTGAAAGTTCAAGGTCACAGATGATGACAGCATTTGGAAACAAGATTGGTTGGACTCCAATGCGTGTTTCTTTAAATGACATTGTGCAATATCTTTTTCATTCGTTACCACTCTTACAAATTCAAGTATATCTTTGGATATACTCTATGCTTTTCCTTAAGCTCGGAAGACTCACACTGAGAAGGGTTGGGTGCTGACTATTTCTAAATCTAGAAGGTAGGGATCTTCTCCTTGGTTGTTCTGAGGGGTGACTGTCACAAAAGCTTAGCTTCTAGTTCACCTTGTGTTAAAATTGTCTTCATTTCCCTTTGGGGCTGAGTGGCTTCATTGACATGCTTGTTGTGTCGGTGTACAGAGCAGGAACTGTTATCATCCACCGATCACCTAATTATGAATAATTTCATGTGTTTCCAGTTTTTCTGAAGCTCCTTGGAAGTGGCTGTCTGGTTGTTTGCATTGGATAGATGTTTTAGAAATTAACCAACAAGTACTACAGTATAATTTAGACTGAGGGCAAGAGGCACATACTTCTAATCACAGGAATGTTAGCACACATACATTTCTATTTTTATGCACAGAAGTATGCAGATGATATTTGTTTTCTTTTCCAGCCTTTTCCCATTTTGCATGAAATATACCCCACCAAATATTGTTGCTGTAGCAACAACAAGGACAAATACTTGCATGTGTTAAATTAATAAGGTAACATTGGAAGCTGACTTTCCTTCAAGACAGGAACAGTCTTTGGTTCCCATTGTTTTCTCTAGGAAATTACTGAGTGACATAAAAAAACAATGCCTCATTAGCTGTGGACCTGAATGTCCACATTGGTGCTTCCTGTGAGATCTGTTGTCTGCCAGGAGGCTTAAAAACAAGCTGAGGAGCCAGGCGTTCAGAATGAAGGGACTCGAAGGGAAGTCCCAATCTGAAGGTTTGCACATGGCCACATCCTGCTTAGCAGGCCACATTATGTCTTGAGTGATTACAAAACTCTTGTCAATGAACAGAGTTGATCACCCTGTAAAACTTGCTCATTTCTCCCCCAGAGTATTCCATCCTGTGTCCTAAAGCTGCTTATGTTATTAATTTATTTTTTTTCCTATTTCGTTGTTTCTAGTTAAACAATCGAGGACTCAGAATAAAGACTCAGTGTATCCATGGTACAATAAAAATTCTTCTTAAGTGCATTATTGGAGCCCATGCCATTAAACTCATTGAAACTTAGTTTTGTTTCCTATAAAATAAAGATAATGTAGCCTTCACTCCAAGTTCTAACAGTCTATGATACTATGAATCTCAGAAAAAAATGCAGTCTCAGTTCTTTCTTTTCTTCTCTAAAATCTAAATGCATAGCATAATCTAACTGTTCAGGAGACATATCCTCAGAGATCCTAAATGTAGCCATTCACATCCAAAGCAGAATTTAATTCATTAATTATTCCAATGTTTTATTGATGAGAGTGGTCGCCACACTTTAAACGGATTCATCCTTCCAGCTTTAATTAAAGCTCTTGGGAGTACTTTCCTCCAAATAACTGTGACTTTTCCCTGATTAAAATGCCAGGAGACTAAAAACAAAACAAAAACAAGAGACACAATGCCTGGGTGGGATGTGAACTTTTTGATCCAGAGAAATCAAAATGGCACCAGGGACTAATCGATTTCCACACCCTCCAGTGACTTTAGAAATAGATTTGACAAACCAACTCAGACTGCAAATCCACTGCTCTTCAAATTTGAGGGCATTGTCATTTGTGGAAAAAAAAAATTTGTACTAGATTATTTATGCCTCCACTTATTTCAGAGGAGCACAAAACAATTGGCTTCTCAACCATATCCTGTTTGGTTTGGTAAATCAGCCCTATTATGGATTATTCACACAGAAGAAGGAAACCTCCAGGAAAACAGTCTGCAACTGCAAGAATATATGCGCAGACCCCTGAAACAAAAGTATCTTCTCTTCGTTGCATTTTCTAGAATGGATATTCATTCTGAGATGTGAGGAAAAGGAAAATTCCAGAAGAGAGTAGCTAGTGCTTACCTTCTGAGGACACTAGTTTCTATGTTTTCCTATTGTCTGATATGTATTTCTCAGATAACATTCAAGTCTTCCACACTTGCTCTTTGAAGGCTCTTTGAGAGCAGACACAATTTCCAAATCCCCTAATGTAGTATGGAAGCAGATACATTAACAGGAAKCACAACATACCACAGCAATGCACACACAATCATCTTCACTCCCTTGAAACAACACTGTCAAAAAAAGAAATGATGGTAGAATGAGTTAGACATCATTACCCTAAGTAGATGTATGAAGGTTATGAATGGTGTGAAAATACAATCAGTAACTTGAAAAATTGTGCTCTATATGTGTAATGTGAAATGAATTGCATTCCGCCATCATGTATAACAAATTAGAATATATAAATAATGTAATAAATAAAGTAGAAACTAGATTTTTGAAGGCAACCCAAGAAATGATCTATTTACTCCAAACTGGTCTCTTTTTTCAGATCTATTTACTAAGGTAGAAGACCATTTCTGAGGGTGCAAGGGATTAATTACTCTCAGAAATATTCATGTTTTTCTGTTTATGGTCCATAATAAGATACTGCCCTTTATAGTGATCAGATCCTATGGACCTTGATTTGAACTTTAATAGCAACTAAAATAAAATCAGCTCCACTAGGAGGGAAAAAAAAAGTAAGTGCCATCTTTATAGATGCATCATGTGAAGCTGGTCACATCCAAGTAGACTTTTGGGTGCCTTAGGGATTTTAAAATTGTGAAACATGTTCTAACAATAACAATCTAACATATCTACAGCACTTTCCTCTACAAAAGCACCTTT